AAATTAAGAAACTAATATTTCTTTTTTTCTACTGAAGTGATAAAAAAGAGCTTTACCTGGTAACAACTGGAGCAATGGTTCCTAAACTATTTTTTTTATAAATATTGGTTTTGTGTCAAACAAGGCTATAGTAGCAATATTCATTATGCTATTTTAATCTATTTTGACTACGCTAACCTCATGCTTTTGTTACAAATAAGAGAAAAGTTAGGAGTAATTTTTGAATGAAATTATTCAGAAAAACTTTTTTTTTTTAATTCAGAAAAACTTTTCTGAATAATTATCCTGACCCCAACTTTGGGAAACTATTATGCGTTATGAAAGACTCTGCTACCACCACACTAACTTTTAGCTCAGTATTCTTTAAATTGAYTGAATTGTAGCCATTTGTGTTGGCTTTGTTGTGGCGGCCATCTTGAATCAGGTCGACTCTAAAAGTCAATCAGCTGCCAAGGTCGGCTCAAAGATTAATTTCTGAGAGTTTCATTAAAATTTGTTTAGTGTTTCATGGGATATTTTATTAATAATGTGGACAAACAAAAACATTATCTATTATAAATAGTATTTAGATCATGCAAAATGTCAAGCATGAAATGCATCACGAAAACAACTACTTCCTYGACAGATAATCAGTCAGATATCAAAGTGGCCATGCTTCCTCTTTCCTGACACCCTGGAGCTGGGGCCATCTGGACAGGCCATTTTCTGCTCATTAACCATGCTCACGTCTTAAGAATTTTAGACGTCTTGCTCTGTCAGAGGAACCGAAGCTGCTAACTCGCGTGCTCACACCTTCAACCTCTTTGTTTCGCTCAAATCCTTCTCTTTGCTCGACGCAGGAAAGATGGCCCGCGATGAAAAGGCATCTTGAGCTGGCAGAGAAAAAAGAAACGCTAGCAGCCAAGCCTGAACTTGCAACAAAACATACAAGTACATATGAAACTGTGAGAAAGGATGACAATAAATAGCGCAATGAGGCAGCGCGTCTGTGGGGACCTGCTAATGATGGAGGCAGGCCCGCCACTAACAGGGCTAATTGGGGTTCAGAGGAATCGAATGTAATGATAGATGGAGGAGGACGGGGTCTCGGTGGTGCACGCCACTGCTGGCAACGGATCACAGGCTTTAACAGAGCCGAACCTTTCACTCAGAACCCAAAGTCATCTGCTGCCAGCAGGTGACTCGGGCTTTATCATTGCCGGCTCGACTCGTGAATGTTTTCCTGGCACGCCGGTTTACAGCAATATATATGTTTGCTGGCTAATTTAAGCTGTCAACATTATGCCTGCTTGTAGGTGAAAAATGGGTGCACCACACAGAGCAGCAGATGGCAGGAATGGATCATCAGTCTGAAACAGGAGACGTGTGATGGATGGATTCCCCAGAGTAAACACTTTCTAACTATGAGCCACACTGAGAGGACATTTGCTCACAAACGAGCTTGTTCGTGTCAATACGATRCCCAGAAAGGKGCTGCACGTATATCGCAAAGTTTGGGCTTATTTGAATTAAAAACACCAGTCAAAAATTCACTGTACTGCATAGATAATTTGTCTGTGGTATTGGTAAATTCTTTATGAACCATTGGCAAAATTTTAATGAAGCTTCCAAAGAGCAGTTATTAGATGCACGTCTACAACTGATTTACTTCGCAATTCAAGATGGCTGCCACAACTAGGTGTTAGCCAACACAAAAATGATTATAACTCAGTCAGTTTTACAGATATTGATCTAAAATTTCATCTGGTTGTAGCTGAGCATCATTTGCAACACAAACTCCGAAAAAAATCAAAGTATTGCCTATGTTTCAAGAGCTCATCCCCATTTAGCTGTGATATCCAAGCAGGTAATTTGGTAAATCTTTATCATTACTCTGAAAAACAAGTTGTTTTTTGTCTTAAAAATGCAAAGCTATTAAATAAAAAATGTGGGCATTGTTTTGACTATCCATGCTCCAGTTCCCATTAATGTATTTTTTTTATGTATTTAAACATTTGCTGAAACAGAAGCAGGAGTGGATGACAGGTTCCCTTCCAAACAGCTACACCAAAGTGAAGCACTCTGTGCCAGGAGGCAACATCCTGCCTTAAAGAGGCAGCAAAGTGAGACGGCTGAATATCACATTAGCAGAGAGAAAATCCAAGGCAGCAGAGGTACCGTGTCACCTCATGTCAAGTTTAACTTTTTGAACGGGGARAAAACCTCTCCCGTTAAGTTCCAAACGCAGTTCAAAAACAGTCTGAAAAGTTGCAAATTACAAAAAAGAAAAAAAAAGTAGTGAACAGTGAAAACAGAGAYGAGTCCTTTTGTGATGGAGGCATTTCAATATGACATACGACCGCCAGAGCGTGCCATGAATAAATCATCCCAAGCCGGGCAGAGAGAGTAAACAGTTGTGTATCTTCCACCTCAGATGCCTGGAGAGGCCTGTCAAACAAAAGCAGTTAACAAAGCCTACCGCCTCATCATCATGCCAACCAAGCATGTTTTCAGTAAACCCAAGTCCAAATCTGACACWTCTACCGCGCTCCCAATCTTTTCTTTCCCCCACAAAAGAACTCAGCATTTTCTCCTGAGTCAACTTAAAAGTTAAGCAAGGATGGGAGAGCTGCAGCTAATCTTTCCCCAGAGTCTCCACTTCACTCGGCTGTATTTAAAGACCACCCAGATCGTCTCTGTATATCAGACACCCAGAGCTCCGGGATAAGCTGCCAATTTGTACTCGCTATGGAAGGAATCCCTTTAAAACCGCCATGATTTCACCTTTTAACACAGCTACAAGCACGATTTGGTTCTTGAGTGGATCCACACTGTGCTTGGGGGAAGACTCTGAACAGGGTAAATATCCTGACCCTGAATCTCAAAGTGAGGGAAACAATTTCATTTTAACAGGGTTTTCCTACACATTTTTATGGAAAAATGTAAACTTTTCCAGCCTGATTGAAAATTTTTCAGAAAATTCTGAGGCATTTTCTCGAAACACTAACTGTGAATGTTTTTCACTGCAAAAATGTCCACCTAACCAAGTTTTAAAATCTTATATCCAGCCAAAGTCTTTTTGATCTTATTTTGAGAATGATTTACTAAACAAGAACTGATTGTGTAAGAATAATAAACTTGATTTCAGAATGTGTAAGATTATTTGTCTTTTTAGCCTGAAAATTTGACTCAAATTAAGTAAAAAATTTCTGCCAATGGAATAAGAAAATTTTACTTGATAAGATTCTTGAAATAAGAAAACAAATGAGCCAAATCAAGTATTTCAAGAATCTTACCAAGTAAAATTTTCTTACTCCATTGGCAGAAATTTTTGATTTAATTTGAGTCAAATTTTCAGACTAACAAGATAAATAATCTTACGCATTCTGAAAACAAGAGTATTATTCTTACACAATCAGTTCTTGTTTAGTAAATCAATCTCAAAACAAGATCAAAAAGTCGTTTTGGCTGATATAAGGTTTTAAAACTTGGTAAGATGGACAGCTTTTGTAGTTCATGTCCTTCAAACCCCATAAAAATCCGACTCCAAAAGCTCATCAGTAAATGTACGTTTATGATTAAAGCTAATAAAATACTTTGATCTGAAAAAGGAAACTTAAAATCTACAAATGAGTTCCTTTAGCCAGACCTGAACAATAATAAATCTTAAATTCCATACTTTTCTAGACTGTCAGATTGCATAGTTTATAAAACTGGACACAATACTCATTATTTTTTTAGAATATAGTTTTATTTATAATTTATAATTGGCAGATACAAAAAACTCTTGAACTGTATTCAAAATGTGCAATAAATCATTGATTTTTTTATTTTTTTGCCTCCAAAAGAAAATAGAAAAAGACTACCTATTTTGGAAAACTGTCACCAGTATAAACTGAAGTGAACTGGTACTTCTACAGAGGTTTTACTAATCACTACTAGTTGTTTTTGAACTGACTACGGTCAGAAACAAATCGCTAATCGGCTTTGCTCTCCCAAGGTGATGATCATTGTGTGTACATAAATCTACAGTGGTGACATTCTATTTTCCCGTTGTTAAATACAAGAAAGGCAATCAAATCCATAAGCAGCACAAATGTGTAAAACACAACAAACTGTTTCAAATTGTACCAAGCTGTTTATGTGAGAGAGGGTAAACAAGAAGTGAAGGGCATGTCCGAACGTGCCCTTCACTTTTTGTCAACATTTTGTAAACATTTACCTTCACTCGTCAAGACGCACAAATGACAAAAATTTCAAAAAGGAGAAAAAAGCCTATTAAGTGCCTAACAGCTAATTCAAAATGGTTCTGCAGTCGGAGCAAGCATCAACGTCTGGAATTAGACATCGAAGGCAATCATGTTTATTAATGAGCTAGTTTTTCAGTGAACTCACAGCAGCAGCAGCAGCAAACCACCTGAAACTGGMTTCTGCTCGCCAAAATCTGATGCACACTTTCAAATTAAAACGGGAATACATTTAAAAAGAACGTCATATTAAAAACATGACTAACATATTACCTTCACATTTCAACTCACACAGTTGGGGACAAAATAAAAGGAAAAAAAAAAGGAGGAAATTTTTAATTTACATCCACATTCTCGCCACGATCCCACACATCAACAGCCAGTTCGCTGGAACTGGACCCTTTATTCCCACAGATAAAAATAAAAAAATAAAAAATAAAAAAGATCTTACAAATAAATGTTTAGTTTTATAAATTTGAGGAGGGAAAACTCGAGGCAGAAGAATGTTCAAGTGCAAATTATTTGTCGATGCAAGACTTTTTGGTACCATTTCCTAATAAATGCCCCTTTATAAAAGATTTCATAACAGCACTATAAAGTATTAACAACCATTTATTTATTTAAAACAATGCTCATAAACTGAAGCAGGACCACAATTTGTCAAGATCTGGTGCGTTTACCTTTATTCCTTCAGGTACAGATAAAAAAAAAACTGTTCATAAATGATTGTTGATGCTTTATAAAGGGTTTAGAAACATGAATAA